GCCATTACCTGGTTACAAGCCATTGGTTTGTCTGGTCCGGATGAGCTGACGCTTTAACCACTAGGCTACTCAACTGCCAGGGCTACAGAATGTCAGGTGTTAATTACAGAATAATCTTGTCAGCATATTGCAAATGGTTATGGTTGGCACCTTAAATAAGGGTCGGTCAGGTAATTGAAACCATATATCGTTTGGGCCATCATATAAACATCAAGAGCAGCATAGAAAAATCATGTTGCACAACACAACAATATACACAAAGTATTTTGAACTTCAGGATGAAGTGTCAAGTTTTTTAAGTGTATACTACATCCTTTTATCCATGAAAGTGTGAAATTCAGCATGTGTAGTGGAAATTCTTTACACGCAAGTAAATTTAGTAAACTCTCCCATCCAGAACAGGTCAGCCTTGTTGCTGCAGGGCTTCATGGAGCTCAACTAGATGACCAATCCTTGATCTCCATGTCAACATGGCAATAATAAAATAACACAAACTACTCGCCGAGTCAACAAGACAGAGAGGAAAGTGACCTCCTCAATACAATAACTTCCTCTCTTGACTATCCTCAAAGCACATTTACAAAGCCCCGAGACTGTAGTGCACCTGACAAGTTGGGTGATGGTTCACAGGCCCTCATCGTACCTTGCCGGCTCCCATTGTTCTGATAACACTGATGTGTAGACCAGCACATTCCACCGAGGCACTCAGGCATGATTAAATCCTTGGGCCGCCTACCTGAAACCCTGCTCGGCAAGTCCTGCCTCTGGACACGAATCTCTCCCAGTGCCTCAACCCTTCTCTCTAGGTCACTAATAGAGGCCCATCACAGCAAACAGTCTTCCATCTAGGATTTATGTTTACACAGCCCCCCCCCCCCCCCCCCCCCGAGTTATTCAGCAATTGTCATCTTGTAACTCTGCACTGCTCAGGGCATATAGGCTCTGGGAACTAGTAAATGTGCTTTTGGACAATATTTTTCTAAAGTACATCTCAAATAGTCTCTTGGCAAACCTGGGCAGGGGCTTGACCATGATCGCCAGTGAATACGGACAGGGCTTGAGATGATTGTGTATGTATTACAAGAACTGTATACCTACAGGGGACTGGAATGTTGACATTCTACTGAGGACTAATAAATGTATAGCCTGCCAAAAGTGACTGTTTGTAAAATGACAAATCAAACATTCTCATCCTATCTTACTTTGTTTAATGTCAACTGTATAAAAACAAGCTTGTGGTAAACATGTTTATCATATCATGGATGGTATTATTGATGCAATAAACCAATCCAATAAACTGGGTATCACAATCCGATAAATATGCAAATGAGTTCACCTGCCAGGAACTACTTTTAAGCCCCATACATAATAGTACAGCGATGCAATGTCTGCTTGATCAATAAATTATTGTCTGCTGTTCTCAGTAGGTTTTGATAGAGTTTTCCGGATGTATGTGTGTTTCTGCAGACAAACATGACTGTAAATCAGTTGGCACAAAATGAAAAATGGGGCGATTTACTCAAACATTGTATTAATGCGCAGTTCAAAAGTTACTGAAAATAAGACTTAAACATTGGTTGTTTCAAGAATAACATTATATGATAAGGAGAATGTTATCCTTGTGTAGGTCTATAGCGTGAATATCAGATATTAGGAAAATATATATGTATTGTACTCATCATGGGCTTGCATAATACAATTTTATTCCCAGCACAATATTATTGATACATAGAGCAATACACTTGCCGTCAGCTAATAATTTCTGACTATCCAGTGTCCCGCTCACACAAGTAATCTTAGCACTATTGCCATCATAACTAAGATGTTTTTATGACATGTCTTGGTGCAAATGTTGATGTACCAGTTGATAGGCACCGACTATTTTACAGTTGTGTTAGTCAGTTATATACAAGCAAATCATAGTAGAAATATGACAATACCTAAAATGGCAGATGAAAAAAACTTGTGAAACTTTTTTTCTGAATCATTAAGATAATTTATTTAATTGAAACAAAAATATATTATCTTCCTCAGTACCTCTACATCATGACAGGTTTTACCAAGCCCTGTACACTAATTCATATAATCGGGTTATCTAGGAATAAACATAAAAAAATTCTAGATATGACATAGGCATTATTATCAATATATCTCCATATCACACCAATGGCATATTTACTATATCATTACGGTGGGGGTATCTCATTGTTCAAGGCCAAACTTGACAGGGTCAACTGACTATGATTCATTTCAGTTCAATCTGCCACTCAGATAGACAGACAGAGAGAAAAAGATTGACAAGGCTTTGATTGGTTAACCCTTGCATGACATACAACATCTTTGCAGGCTTAAACCGCTGACTTTCCTAATAGCTGTCTGCGGTCTTACAACAGGCTACACTAATTACTTGATGCTCTCCTAGCTTATATTTCAAGATAAACAGGTCACCCCAGATAAACTACTTGCGTTGAGCACTGCCCCTACAACACAACAATAAGGTTGAAATATTTATCATGACAGCCTTCCATTGCATTATATACTGAACAAAAAATTAGGGATCATAAATATTTTGGGGATATTTTTATGACACTCTGGGCTCAGTCTTCACAACAAAATATCCCCCAAAACATTCATGATCCCTCACCGTTTATTTCAGTATATATCATATCAGATATGATTAATCACTTATCATTAAACATAATACATTATTTTAGAATCTGCTACAAAATGTCAATAAAAAACATTTTGGAATGTAATTAGTTTCCAGGTCCAAAAGAAGTGAAAATACAACATTCCTTGAAGTTGAACATTTATCATATGACATCTATTTCACTTCTGAGCTGGGATGGGCCACATTCCATTTCAAGTAGCAAGTGTATTCCTATTGTCTTACAAGAGAACACTTTGTTCCATACTGTTTCATATCATCTGATTGTGTATCATATATCTCCATGTGATACAGCTCATATTTCCTACATGCAAATCCCATAAATACAACTAAGTCAAATATATGAGCACATAAACAGACACTTGTAAGAGAAAATACGAAAAAATCTTTAGGATTTTGAGATGTTTGATCAGTCATCATGAAAATTAAAAGATTTATTTAGATAAGTTTTCTGAAGTCTAAAACACAAACACCAGCATATTAACATGCTACCATATACCATGATCTACCACAACGCATACTGAGACTGACCTGTGTGCTGGAAACAGTTACCGTGTACCGGTAGGTCAACAAGAAATACAACCAATCAATCAGGGCAATTACACCAGGTCAGAATGACCTGAAGACATGTATAAGCCATCCTGCCGAGTATGTCTCATCATAATAGAGAACCTATGTCTTCCTGTAAGTGCCTGTAAGTAGTAGGTGTATATTGATTACACTGAGTATGAAAACTGGATATAAGAATGCATTAAATCTCAGCTGGAGGTTTACATACAAGTTCTAACTTCTATCATCAGTATCTATACTGTACACAAAAAGTTAAGGATCATGAATATGTTGGGGTATATTATTATGAAATTGTGTGCTCAGTCTTTTCACTTAAAAAAACATCCAAAATAATATTCATGATCCCTTAATTTGTTTTTAATATACTATCATGATATAACATTTATACTAAGTTTTCCTACAATAATTAGATCCACATCAAGTGCTTTTATGACTTATCATGGTGTAATATTTATACATCATTTCATATAAGTATTACTTGCTAAACTATAATTATATGAAATGATGTATAAATATTACACCATGATAAGTCATAAAAGCACTTGATGTGGATCTAATTGTTGTAGGAAAACTTAGTATAAATGTTATATCATGATAACTATAAATATTACACCATGATAATACATACACAGAAATGTATTTGCTAATGATAAGAAACACTGTTTGTACCAACATATCTAAGTGGGGCGTGGAAGTACAAGGACCATGTAATGTGTTGCGCAAGGGTCAAGCACTAAAATCAAATGTAATTTCTCTGTGTGTAACTTACATACTACTTTCATAAACAAATTCAAATCGGGGGTACCTGTCTTTGCAATAAAGTTTGTATGTTTCACTGTAAACATGTTTTGAGAATCGCTAAAATGATGACAAGTCTCTCAAACTATATCTTGCTGAACACTGAATATAATAACCACTGTAGCACTCCAGGACATATAGGCTGTATCGTCAAAAATATATACTCTAAAGATACGTTAAAGAGAATCTGATTCTTTCACATTGCTAAAGTTAATCTGTCATGTCAGATTAACTTTAGATATATACAAGAATTGGGTATTCTTTAACTTCTTTAGGAAGTACAAGTCAACCTAATTGCGGTCAAATAATAATTTCATTATTTGTACTGAACATACTGGGTTAATTAAAAAGCACTTGTGCTGTGATGCTAGTGTAAAGGTTAATTTCCTGGCCCCTCTGCCTGACAGTATTCCCCTACAGGTAGTCAACATAGGCACATGGGCTTGTCGTTGCTCAACCAACACGACAGGTTTTCGGTGTTGACAGTTCGGTCAAAACACACTGATTGAAAACACAGGTCGAAAAAAGGTGACACATATTAAAACAAGGCTGTTTCATCAAATACGAACGCCTATTTGAAAATTGTGATATGAGATCGCAGCATGTAGTATTGGGTCATAAATTTGACTTACTTTCAGTTAAGAGAGACGCTCGTTATAGTTATATCATTGAAATGACGTGTGAGAATACACCTGTTAGTGTTACTGTCCGCAGCCTGGAATTAGGAAAGGGATAACTGTCCGTTATTTCGCCCTGTATATTTAACACTATACTATGTTACTTCTGTCCAATATACACGTTGTAAATTCATCGACTACACACTACTAGCCTCTGGGTGGGATTCCGATAGGACGACGAAGGCAATGATTCGGTGAAACATGGCGGCCCGTCCCATATGCAGTCACCTCGACTGGGAGAGATATTACAGGCCACACGATACGATCAATTGACAACTGTTACTTACTTGACCACCCTTTTTCCCCCTGTCGGCTGAATTCCAATGATTTAAAGTGTTCTTTCGCAAACAGGCGATCTTTCTACGCCATTCTTGTCTTCGCACCGAATTTGTTTGCAATTGGGCGAGGCTGTGTATTTGGCTGTTCTAGTGAATGTATGTCCTCCCTCGGTAATAGGAAGAAGTAACAGCCCCGATAGCATCGATATATAGACTAACCAAAATGTGTAATCGTCTTTATTTTCACGGATTCCTATGTGCAGATAAAGCGTAGATAATTTACAATGCTATTATTCAATTTTACGACATTTACCTATGTAGGTACACTTGTTGGAACAGCAGTGAATTCCTCGCATCACATGACCAGTTTGTCCGAGGTGAAAGTCAGTTGAGGTTTGCAGCTCGGTTTGGATGGGTAAATAACCCGAACAGAGTTAATTAATCTGTAAACAAACGGAGGCGCGTTTCTCAAAGTTTTCTTGCAAGACGAGGTGTTAGCGAGCTGTATCTAATACGATTCTTTTAAACCCGGACAAGGCGCATGAACGGTGAACATTCCCCTCCTAAGTCGCACCTGTCAAACGGGAATCAAGGGGACCTCTCGTCAGTGAATCCGTGCCCTCGCGATCGTCTACACCAGCAAGCATTTTGCAACTGAACATATTTTTTGAGATAATTGCTACAAATATGCCTACTCTGGTGTCCATATAGAAATACGCGTGCCCCGGCGTCTAACTCCGGTCACGAATCCCGATATGCTTGTCTATACTGTCGGTCAAAATAAAGTATACACTTGAATATTGGATTCCATGAGTAAGTGAGTAAGTTGGGTTTCACGCCGCTTTTAACAATATTCCAGTTATATCGCGGCGTGTCAGCTTAATGTTGGAAGAAAGCCTGAAGTGATGCAGGTCTCAGACGTTTACCACTTCGGTGAAACCCACGAGCACGGGTATGGTGCTGACAAACCTAGAAACATAATCAGGGCGAACCGGGATTCGAACCCACAATCATAGGTTTCTGGCGTGCCCATGTGACGCAACTCTGCACAGCGAATCGCGGCGCCTTAGACGACTGGGCCACCCGTGCCCCCTGGATTCGATGAAAACAGTACAAACATTATCAAAGTGTTGTAGGCTGAAAACAGTCGCCGAAATACTGCAAACCTAAGGTCCAAAACACAACTCATCACAATACACGATACCCGTAACGACTAACGGGATCGGGTGGTCAAGCTCACTGACTTTGTTGATGCATGTCATTGTATCCCAATTGCGTAGATCGATGCGCATGATGTCAATCACTGGATTGTCTTATCCAGCCACGGTTATTTACAGACCGACGTCATCTAGCTGGAATAGTGCTGAGTGCGGCGTTAAACAACAAACAAACAAACAATACCTTCGTACAGCCATTTCTTCTTTGATAGCCAAACATGGGTGTATACTTTCTTTTGCCCGCAGTGTATAGTGTTTGTTACTCTTTCCACATCAATTGCTTCTAGTGTGGCAGTCTAGTGTATATTGTTTGTCATTTAATGCCCCACACAGCAACATTCAAGCTACATTATTTTATAAGCGGGGACACATCATACCCTTGTGTCAAAATGAACAAATATACACGCAAGGTTGAAACGTCAGTTGTCGGGGTTGACGGGGTTGCAGACTTGAGTCCATACGGGGCCCACTGCACATGCACTCTGTTCAAAGTGAGTGAGTATGGTTTTGCGCCGCTTTTAGCAATATTCCTGCAATATCACGGCGGGGGACACCAGAAATGGGCTTCACACATTGTACCCATGTCGGGAATCGAACCCGGGTCTTCGGCGTGACGAGCGAACGCTTTTACCACTAGGCTACCCGACCGCCCCTGTTCAAAGTGAAAAACATAATACCCTGTGCCCATTGTGTACTGTCGATAACCTAGTTATGTAAATACAATGTCTTAAGTGTATGCTAAAGAAGAAGAAGATTTTATTGACGTGTAACGTGTGGTGCACTTGATTTATTATCAGAATGTAGGCCTGGAGTGTACATGCCACACCCGGTTGTATAGGCCTATGAGAAACTAATTACATAAAAATATACAATATATATTGTCAAGTGTTAAACTGATTATATATTCACACAAGCCACTAATGTGGCATCTCCATAATTATATATAATAATAGCTAAATACCGCTATACCAACCCCCACCCCCAAAAATAATGATATATATATTAAATATTAAAATGTGCTGTACCTATCGAGTGTTCGTCTGTAGGTGCTGTTGGATAATACATACCATGACGTGACATGGGGTGTTTGGTTGTCACCGAGAGGGACACCAGAAATGGGTTCGCTCATTGTACCCATGTGTGGAATCGAACATGGACCTCGGCGTGACAAGTGAACGCATTAACCACTGGACAACCCTACCGCCCGCAGTGTTTTATGATACAAGTATTATAGTTATGATGGAGATACGATACACTGGATAGTCGAGGATGCATGTTTGAAAAAGGCGACTTGAAGACGTCCCCTCGAATTCCGTAATTCTCTCTCTCTCTCTCTCTCTCTCTCTCTCTCTCTCTCTCTCTCTCTCTCTCTCTCTCTCTCTCTCTCTCTCTCTCTCTCTTCACTAAATCATATATATATATAGTATGTAATAGGTGCTTAAAATAGACTCAGCAATGTCGAAAGTCGAATGCCTTTACGTAAGATTGATGCCCCTTTCCATACACACGCTGCGATAGCATGTAAATGTTGATACAATTAAAATGTTAAAAGAGAATAACTCCAGGTGCCATTCTACACCACAAGTATGCCCTGCCACCTACGTCAATAGGTACTTCTTTGTACAAGTCGGCTCTGTGGACGACGCGTCCAGGCGATATACAGTGCCAGTTGGCATATTCCCAACTTACGGAAGTAACAACGACCCCACAACAAGGAAGTTCAATTTATTTAAAACCATGCACGAAGCAGGTGGCTTTTTGTACTTCTGCACTGTAAGCACATTAGCGTTCATTGTATAATAGACCCACGGAGATCGGTGTTAGAATGGGTATTTAGCAACCCATGCAAGTCATAAAAGGAGACTATGCTTGTCGTAAGAGACGACTAACGGGATCGGGTGGTCAGGCTCGCTGACTTGGTTGACGCATGTCATTCTATCCCAATTGAGTAGATCGATGCTAATGATATCAATCACTTAATTGTCTGGCCCAGACCCGATTATTTACACATGCTGAAAGCACAACTATAGTTGGCGTTAAAGATATATCCTTTGCAGTCAAACTCACAATTATTACAAAATCACAAATGAATATATACGGCCCATAACCATTTTGGGGTTACATCATAAAAAATATACCATATTGGCTAAATACTAAAATTCCGTATTTCACCTTTCCCTCGAAGGCTTGGACTTAATTTTTCAATTTTAGAAAACTCAAACAACCATATATGTCAGACCACAAGTGTTGTAATTTTAATGATTACATTTTAATACAATAAACACCAGTTCATCCATCAAATACATACATCAAAACCGACAGTTAATTTCAAGATGGCAAACACTTCCTTCACTGTAGTTCTATTGTATGCATACGATATAAGATAAGTGAATTAACGTGACAGCGCTGACAAACTACCAGCGTGTATGAATCTAAAGTATAAATTACTGGCAGATAATTTGTTGTGTGTGTGCAATGTACATAGTCCTTTTGCCGAGAAGGGCAGTATGTTTCACCTCAAGTGTCATATATCTACACGTGACGAACGATTATCTCCGCAATAAACATCTCAGGTGGGGCTCCACACACGTGGGTGTCGCTCGGATCTTACAATGTTCAAACACGGCTCTGAGGTACGCGTGGAGCATAGCGAGCGTGACCACCCGATCCCGTTAGTCGCAACAAGCATGAGTTGCTGAAGACCAAGTGTAACCCGGATGTTCACGGGTCTTTTTTGCCCCGTATTATCCCCAGGACATCATGGTTATGTACTCGTAATTATTTATATTTAAGGACCGTGTTTGTCCCATTGCGACGTACGTTCGTCATTCCAGTCTTTTCTTGTATTTTAACTCTTGCATTTCTGACAAATAATGTTTTGATGATGTCATTTATGACCTTCTTAATGTTATTCGTGGGACACTAGAAGGTCATGCTCTGACAGTGCGGTAGGCCTTGTTTATGTTTTGTTAATGAGGAGCTGTGTGGTTCACTCACTAATTTATTCGTCTCAGCTACTAGGAAGAAACATATTTTTAAAAAATGTTCTTATATGGAACAATGCTACGCACCTTGGAATACTCGAATACCGATTGCATCCTGCTTTACTAAGACAGATGGATAGGAATGCCGTCATGTCCTAGGCTTATGCCACGACACCAGACAAAGAAGTGACGTTTCAGAAAACCCAGAAAGACCGAGCCCAGTTGTCTTGACGCTCCCTGGTGGTGTAACGTAGACAGGCGTTTCTTTACCTGTCGACATTAGCGTAGGCGCCGTATGCCTTTCCTATGGGTATTTTCCATGGCGACATAAGCAATGTGTACGATTATACGGATACGGGCACTATCGGTACAATGGCTATCTAGCATCGAGATTTGCGCATAAACGTGTTTGTATACATTAACTGGTAGTTTCCCGTGATATAAAATAGGACACACCCAGACACACATCCAGACACCGCCCCCCCCCCCCCCCCCCTCTCCTGCATACACACACATATACCCCCCTCCCCCCCCCACACACACACACACACGCACGCATATCCCAAGACACACAGACACATAGACCACCACCCACCCTCCCACAGAGACAACCTCGCCCCCCCCCCCCCCCCCCCCCCCCCCCCGAAAATTACGGAATTCTAGGGGACGTCTCCAAGTCGCAATTTTCAAACAGAGTGAGAACGCACCAAAACACCCACAAAACAACAAACACCGACATTTAACGAACATAATTTCAATTTGATTATTCAGAATGTTTAAATATAAATAAATGCAATTTTACTCTTATTAACAAGATTGAATTAGTTTCCACAGAGACCATATCTATTTTATTCTGGTTATATCAAATCGAAACCTCGTGGTTTACACAGACTTCAGATAGCTGGGTATATCGTAAAGACGTTGTCACTTTATGGTGTCGACAACACCACACTTACT